GCAAGGGCCCGCGTGTCTCTTTCCCTGGGACTCCTTCCCAGCTTCCTCCCCATATTTCTCAGCTGACCTTGGTGTGGGAGTTAAACAAGATGAAAGGGCTGATGCTTGAGGAACTTTGGCTAGATGGGAACCCCTTGTGCGACACCTTCCCAGACCAGTCCACCTACATAAGGTCAGTGTGAACCCCTCTCACCCTGCCTGGGAACCTTTGCCCCCTGGGAGCCTGAACTGTCCCTGAGAACGTATGTATGCAGGAAGCTGCAACCCTGGTCCTCTGGAAGGACCTGAGGCTCCACCTTCTCCTATGTGTCCCTCACCTGTAAGGAATTTCCTTCCTCTGACCTGCTCACCTGTTTCCTGTTCTGGGGTCTGTTTCCACCTCTCTGCATTCAGCATTCATTAGCATGCCCTCCAAGCATGTTCTTTAGGAAGAAGGGCTTCTCCTCCTTACCAGGGCCAGGAGTGATCAACCTTGAGCCAGATTCTGGTGCCCTGGACTGAGAAGGTTCCTCTAGCCCAGGGCATCAGGCTGAGACAGGCCTTCCTACTTCCTGCTGAGATGGCACTTCCCTCCCTGGTTCTGAGAGGAGACCTCCTTCCCTTGCTCCAGAATGGTTCCGCCTCAAATCTCAGGCTGCTGTGGTGGCTTTCCTGCCCCATGCTGAGGGCCGAGGCTGTGAATGGCTGCCATGATGAAATCCATTCCTCTGACCCAATGCCAGGAGCTTGGCCTTCCTTGGGAGAAACCGGAGTTCCCTGAGTCAAGGGGCCTGAGACTGCCAATGAGCAGAGGCTTCCTGAAGCAGGAATGGAAGGCAGAGAGCAGAAGTGCTTGAGGAGACAGAAGGACAGGACTCTCAGAGGCACTGCCCCCTCCTCACCCACCGCCCCCCAACACGTCACATCATCCTGGCTGTTCCTTCAGAGGAGCCCTGGGTAGCCCAGCACAAGTATGAATCCTCAGGCTGGGAACTGACTGAGACAGGCACAGGTGCACAGGTGCCATCAGAAGGGAAGATGGTGGTCATAAGAGGGGGCCACAGGCCCTCAGATCCATGCTGACCTGGGGCCTGACCCTCTACTCCTTCTGGGGAAGGTGTCCTGCCCCCGTGGCTGTCTCGTTCCCCATGGCCAGGTCAAGCTGAGTTCACACAGGTGACAAAGTTTCAACCAACATCCAATGGGCCCCCAGCCCAACACCTGCATGTTTTCCATCTCTACCTCAGCTGCCAGGGCCAGCCAGAGCAGATGAAGGAAAGGGCTGCAGCTGGGGAGCCATTTCCCCCTTCTTCTCTCTTCCTCCCTGGCCCCCACCACCATAGTAGAGGTTTTTTTTTTTCCTTTCCCTTTGCTTTGCTTTCTCTTCCTCCCCTGTCTCTACTCCCCTATGTCTCTGTCCCCCCTCCCCTCCTACCTTCACCCTATCTTCTGTTTTCCTCCTCCTCTCTCTCCCTCCCTGCCACCTGGATCTTGCCTCACTGACCTCCCTGCCTCAGCATCTCGGGTCATCCCTGGGGGTGTCGTGGTCCTGAGGAATGCTGGGACCTTAGTGAGGTAGCAGAGACCTGCGCTCCCACCCCATTCCCTCTTTTCTCCGGAGCCTTCAGTGGGAACCTGGAGGAAGGAAGGGAGGTAGGGAAGGGAAGGTAGCCATGGACCCTGGACTCCAAAGGTTGCTTCTTGGGTCACTGAAGAAGGGAGTGAGGGCAGTCTAGGTGGGAGCTACCCAGTGGAAAGGAGAAGGAGAGGAGGTAGGGGGGAAGGGAAGGAGGCAGGCTTTGCAATCCTGACCTATCAGTCACTTCTTTCTATTTTGGGTTTTGGACAGTGCCATCAAGGATTGTTTTCCTAAGTTGTTACGTCTGGTAAGTGCCTACATTCATCATTGTCTTTTACTAACATGGATCACCTCCACACCTACCCTCAAGCCCTTTGGGTCTTACCTAGATTATATGTTTGTGTCATACCCTTACCCATTTTAGGGGGCCAGGACTCCTGTAAAAGACATGAGTATACTCTCTGGAAAAAATGTCCACAAACGTGTGTGTGTGTACACACACACACACACACACACACTATAATAATAGAGACTTCCAGGACCTCATGATGAAGACGCCCACTGTAATCTTGTTCATGTAAATTCCAGTGCCCTTTCAGAGCTGACCTCTCACCCTCACCCTCTCTTGGGCTCATCTTTTCAACCCTGAACATCCAGGGCCACCTCCCTGGGCTCCACTGCTGACTTCCTCTTCCCCTCTCCAGGATGGCCAGGAGTTATCCCCACCAGTTACTTTTGATATTGATACACCCTACTTAATAAAGCCCTGCAAGGTGAGGAAAAATGATCAAATGACATTTGGAGTATTGAGAGGGAAGCTTTATCAGCCACATAGTCTCAAAAGTCTTTTGATTCCAGGAAAGCTACAAAGGATCTGAGATACTGAAGAGTCTAGTCTTGCAATTCCTGCAGCAGTAAGTACACCTGGGAATCTAGGGAAGTGGAAGGCTAGGATAGGTGAGGCCACCCAAGCTCAGGACTGCTGACTGCGTCTTCAAAATCTCACTTTGGGTCCAGACCACAGAGACAGACTGTCCTTATTACTCCCCCACAGGTACTACTTGATGTACGACTCTGGAGACCACCAGGGTCTCCTCGGTGCTTACCATCATGAGGCCTGCTTCTCCCTGACCATTCCCTTCAACCCGGAGGACCAAGCCCCGTGAGTAGCAAAGCTCAGACTCTGCTTCTGGGACATGTGGCTCCCCAGTGGACACAGGGCAGCTCCTAGAAACACCCACACTGGCCAGACCATCACCTCCTATTCCTCTTTCTCTCCTAGAAGCAGCTTGTGTGGGTACTTCAAGGAAAGCAGGAATATGAAGAAGCTCAAGGACCCCTGTGCGTGTGATGGGGGAAGATTGGGCAGGGAAAGTGGATGTGAAGGAGTAATTATAGGGCCCAGGGTGTGGCAAGCCCTGACCTTCGCTTGCTTCTCCTCCTCCCGTAGGCCTGTGGGTTCAGCTGCTGAAGCATACAAAACGTGACATTGTGTGCTCCCTCGGTATGCTGCCCAAAACTCAGCATGACCTCAGCTCCTTTGTGGTGGACATGTGGTTCCAGACGGTGAGCACCTGCTTCCTCCCAAGGGCAGTCCTAGAAAGCCACAGTTGGGTAGGAAGTTTAGGTGACTTTAGCACCTGGGCTCTTCCCTTTTAGGAGATGATGCTCTGCTTCTCTGTCAATGGGGTGTTCAAGGAAGGTGAGTGTGTGTAGAGCCCCTTTCCAGATGCCTCAGTGCTCCCTCCCCGCTGGCTGAACTCCCTCTGATAACTCTCCTAGCTTCCCTGATCCCTTTCCTTCCATTCCTATTCCCGCTGTGTTCTCCTGCCTCCATTCTGCCCCCAAGCCAACCTGGTCTGAGCTGGGTCTATGCCTGTATGCCCCACACAGCTTTGGCACTAGGGACAGTCTGTGGAGTTTGATAGCTGTCATCTCAGATCCTTACTCTGAGAACTACTTGGGGCAGTTACTTTACCTCTAAGTTTCCTTGTTTGCAAAATGGGGCTAATAATACCCACCTCTCGGGCAGCTGTGGAAAATGAATCAAGTGAACTTGTGAAGAGTTTGTCACAGCACCTGTGACATAGTAGAGGCCCTATCACTGGGAGCAGATTGCTCCTACTGTTGCCATCTCCATACCAGACACCATGGATCCCAATGAACAATTGTCCCTCCCAGCATGAGTATCAAGGCATACCCTGACTGGAGAACACTGTGTGAGCATGTGAAGCATGTGTGACTCTAAGGGAGTATTGTTGTTTGTTGTTAAAGTGGAAGGAAGATCTCAGGGTTCTGTTCGTGCCTTCACCCGGACCTTCATTGTTACCCCTGCCAGCAATTCCAGGTGAGTACTATGTTGTAGATGGGAATGCCATCCCAGCCCAGGCCCAGGGGTGTAGGAGCATGGTGGTGTAGACATCTTGGTTTTCTCAGTATTGTGGAAAGCCAACAGGTAGATATCCAAGGAGCAGTCTAGTCTGGTGGTTAAGAGCATGGGTGCTGGAGTTAGAGCACTGAGTTCTCTTCCTGACCCCAGCATTCTCTAGGTGTGTATGACCTTGGTTAAGTCACATGACCTCTCTGTGACTCATTGCCTTCCCTGAAAAATGGGGATTAGACTGTCCACTCCCTTGGGCTATTGTAAGGGATAAATGTGAGTGTAAACTCATCCCTGGGCTGCAGGGTAAATGCATATCTACTGAGGCTGGTAGATAGTCTCTGCAAAAGTGGTCTCTTTGGGAGGGGTAGAGGTACCAGCCAAGCAATCTGGAGGACAGGCACAGTAGGGGTATGGAAGGAATCTGGTTGCTGAGTGGCAGTGGGAGTGAGATCATTGTTAGGGATGTGGAGTTGTACATCCATTCAGTTGCCTTAGGGCACATTTTCCCTCCAGTATATGCATCGTGAATGATGAGCTGTTTTTGAGAGAGGCCACCCCCAGTGAGACTCAGAGTGCGTTCTCCATCCGAGTGCCTACACCCACCTCCAGCTCCATGCCCACCCTCTCCCAGGAGCAGCAGGAAATGGTGCAGGCTTTCTCCACTCAGTCTGGGATGAAACTCGAGTGGTCTCAGAAGTGAGTGTTGGGTGTGCATGGGAATAAGGGTGGGTTGGACAGCAACTTGGGGAGGGGGGAGGCAGTGAATCAAAGAAACTCGCAGGAAATTTGGAAAAATAACTTTTTGGAGAGTTAGTTTCCAAAAGAAAAAAAAAAGTGGACCCGTGGAAAAGGAATCATACTATTATACATGTGAAGAGTTTAAAAACAGTATAATGCTCAATGAGATTGTCTTATATATGGAAAATTTGAAAGAATCCACCAAAAAATTACTAGAACTAATACACAAACTCAGCAGGGTTGCAGGATAAAAGGCCAATATACAAAACTCATTTGTATTTCTATGTACTTGCAATGAGGAGTCCAAAAATGAAATTAAGAAAACAAGCCCATTCACAATAGCATCAAAGTAATAAAATACATGGGAACAAATGTAACAAAAGAAGCACAAATCTTATATTCCTAAATCTATAAAACGTTGTTGAAAAAAATTAAATAAATGAAAAGACACCCCATTTCCATGGGGTTGGAATATTGCTAAATATGTTAATATTGTTAAGATGGCAGTAATAGCTAGAGAAATCTACAGATTCAACACAATGACTGTCAAAATCCTTCTTTGCAAAAATTGACAAGGTTATCCTAAAGTTCATACGTAAGTGTGCCAAAACAATCTTGAAAGAGAAGAACAAAGTTAGAGGATTCACACTTCCCAATTTCAAACTTGCTACAAAGCTATAGTAATCAAGACTGTGTGGTTCTGGCAGATGGACAGTACATGAATCAATGGAGTAGAATGGAGAGTCCACAAATAAACCCTCACACTTATGGCCAGTTGACTGTCAAATGAGAGTGTTGGAAAATAATCTGGTAGGAAGAAAAATAGTCTTTTCAGCAAATGGTGCTGGGACAACTGGATAGAAATATTCACAACAAGGAATTTTGACCCCCTGATTCACATCATGTACAAACATAGCCTATAAATGGATGAAAGATCTAAAGGTAAGAGCTAAAACTATAAAAATCTTGGAAGAAAACATAGGCGTAAGTCATCATGGATTAGGCAAGTGTTTCTTATATATGACACCAAAAGCACAAGCAACCAAAGAAAAATATAGATACATTGGACTTTATCAAAACTAAATGCTGTTGTGCACCAATGGACACTATCAAAAGAGTAAAAATCCCACCAACAGAGCGAGAGAAAATATTTGCCAATCACATATCTGACAAGAATATATGAAGAACCCTTGCAGCTCAACAATAAAATGACAAACAACCCAATTTAAAAAGTGGAAAAAGGGGGGCGCCTGGGTGGCGCAGTCGGTTGAGCGTCCGACTTCAGCGAGGTCACGATCTCGCGGTCCA